GATCAATCAAGTCACAAATACCAAAATTGCATACATTCTATGAATATGCATAAACCTTGATGTGAACTAATAGTGATCAGAAATTGTAGTGTAACTTGAGAGAATATTTTATATGAGAAATTAATGCAATCAATTTTCCATACTCATATCTCCTTTATGTGATCAACCAAAAATCTATTTCTTTGTCATACCATTAACTTTCATGACTATTCAAGATCACCAATATCAAATTATCATCAACAACTTAAACATGTTACAATCCGTATAACAAGAATAAAATTTGTATGCCAATGGAGTTAAGGTTCATTGTGACATAACTGAAATATTCCAAAATATATCATACAATCAATTTGTCCCCATATCCTCAATCAAACATAATTAATTCACACCTTTGGGTAGAGAATTAAACATGTTTTCAACACTAGGACATGCACATACACGAATTTCCGGAACAAAGAAACTCCCACGTCTTTGGACTGAAGAAATTCCTTGCTAATTCATGCAGTGCATCTCCCATATTGTTCCATTATAAGTGTACTCATGTTAAACCACTCACATCTTTGGACAGAGAGTTTTTTAACACGCCTTCACCTATAATGCCAATTATGATCAATTCTTTAAATCCAGAAAACTATTAATGATTGAGTTGCTTTGGCTCACTCAACCATTGCTAGAATATCTGTAGACTATGATCATAAAACTTCCAAATATGATAAAGTTAAAACTTTATACTTTTATCACATTTAATAACCAATCTTAGAATCAAATGTTCTTTAATCAACTAGGTTGCTTTCGCTCTTTAAATTGAAACAAGAACTCTTGAAACTTTGATCTCAACCCTTCAAGCATGAACGAGAAAAAGCTGTATATCGAAACACGCTTAACAAAGTATGTTAGTGTAATAAAGGGTAATAAAACAATATATTGCTTAACTTTCAGTTTTAGGTTTTATCACTTTGGGTTGGTACTTTATAACCTTTCGCATGTGTATAGTTGCTATGCTAATATAAAACCTAAACCTCAATAGAACATATTTCTCCAAAATGGGTCACGACAAAAACAGTTCATGACATATGCGATTACTTAACATGCTTGGGTCAATTTAACATTAATAACTGAAGCTACGGCTGAAAGTATGTATCAATTTATGAAAATTAAGCATGCTTGACATATAGAAAACTGATGTCATCTTTATAAAATATTTTAACATGCCGCAATTCACAAACTCAGTATGCATGATATCGTAAACTGAAACCATATGAATATCATGCAAATATGCCGTAAAACAAGATGTTTTTATTTGAAATTGTATTTAATTTGTGTCCAGGGAGGTATAAAAGGGGAAACAATACAAAGGCAAACAATATAAGTGTCACGACATGAGTTCATATTAGAGGTCCTTTATAATACTAGTTGCCAATTCTTTAGGATTAAAACTAATTCGTGACCACTGGATGCAATTTGCATAATTAAAAACATGAAACTAATGTTATAGCCGCAAACTTTAGCAATCAATTCATATTCAATAAAATATCATACCCCATGGAAGCTTGATCAAGATGCAGCAAAAAAGGAGGAAAACACAACAGCCCAAAGTCGTACAGTGTAAGCCAGCAGCAGCAGAAAACGTGGGCGATTTCTTTTGGTTCTAAAACATGTAGCCTAGGCTCTGATACCACATGTAAACTATAATGACTACACATGATAGAACACACATCAAGAATATACAAGAGCACATCTCCTCAATCCGATCCCTTCATACACTCATTCTAGATGGGGTGAATTCTTTTGTGTGGGTTGGCTTGATCGGTTGAGCAGGGGCACTTGTATTTATATGCATCTTCCTAAGAGTCTTGCCCATCAAGAAACTCTTAAGAAGTCCTTATTGCATTAGGTTTATAACTTCTAATCCACAATTAAGATAGGAATCCTTCTAGCTCTTATATTAGCCTTAAAACACTAACTTTAATAGAGCTGCAGGTTTAGTTGTATTTGAACTCCTAATTGATATCAAGTCTTAGAATCCTTTGATGATTATAAGACCACACTTTAATGGGTTAGACATCTACACGTCTAACAGGGAGCCCTTCCCAATTTAGCTATTCTACATATCAACTTCCCAGATGCAGAGTCCTTTAATACATATGTCCATTGGAAGCTGCATTATCTATCCAAATTAAAATTCTGGGTGGGGGGTTCTTGTGATGAAGCAGAGTTACCCAAAAACAGCATAGTTTTCAGCAAAACTGACTTCACTGTGGAAGGAAACCTCCCAGTCCCAGAAGAGACCTCTGAGTTGCATGTAATGAGCAACAAGGGTCTATTGTGGTTGCCAAGTTGTCGTCTGGATAGCCTGAAGGTCATCCAAATTTCTGGCTGCGAAAGTTTGGTATATTTATTCCAGAGTGGCGGCGAGTACAACCTTCCAAACCTCCACACAATTTTAGTTGAAAACTGTCAGAGTATGCAGGCGTTGATAGAGTCCAAAGGACACAGTGACAATGTAGCCGACTTTAAGGTTCAACCTCATTTGTTGAAGCTAAAAGTCATCCGTATCTCTGACTGTGAAAATT